CGCTCAACGTTTTTCCTCGTTTTTTTTTTTTGTCAACATCTTGATTAGCGTTTGTGTTTCTTTCCACGTATGCATAGCATGTCCACGGTTTTTCCCCCTCGCTTTTAGTCGTGACTCCGATGTATCGTGGTCCACCGACGCATTGTACGTCGAATTCGGATCGTAGACAGCGAGCTTTTGTTGACAAATGAGGCGCAAATAAAGCTCGCCAGGCGCCAAACCACATTTCCCATCCACTTTCGCGCGGAATTTTTCCTCTTTAATTTCGTATTCTCGCGCGTTCGACGACCCCGCCGAGTTATCTCGATATACCCGCGCGCGCAGCATAGTCGAAATTTGAATTTATTAGTCCGTATACATGCACACACGCACCGGGAGTCGGAGAACGAATTCCGCATTCGTACGTATGTGCGTGATACTCGATGATTTTTGTCACGTGTCGCGCCGCCGCGACGTGTTTCGCCACTCGAGGCACGCAGCAAGCAGAGAGTCCGATCGCGCGCACAATGTTATAATTACAGCAGCCCGGGCACGATGCGGATTCCATACATGCGCGCGGATACGTGGAGCCCTATAATAATTCTCGAGAATCTTACTCTATCGAGTTTCTATGTACGAAATAAAAGGTTTCGAGCTTGCACTGGACATCGGGAGAGAAAAAAAATGCATCGAAATGTCGCGCTGGAATAACTTTTCGAATGGAAAAATATTTTTCTTCGCTTTTTCTGGAGAAAAAATAATCAAAATATCAATTAATAATATTTTCTATACTTCCGACATCAAATGCAGTTGCAGTTTTTTCCATCTTACAATAATTCACTAAGCACATATAAATAACAGACGCAAGCAGCCATAATTCGTTTCGAAAATACGTTGCGTTTCAATTAAAATCAATCTCCAAAAGGACTCAAGAGAGAGAAAGAGAGAGAGAGAGAGAGAGGCGCAGAGGAGAGTTTGCCCGGGTCACGTTCCAAGGGGTATAGGTAGTATATATAACGGCATTTAATTTATAAATTCGCAACAAACGGGTTGACGCATTATGCATGAAAACACACGCACAGACACACGCGTATACATTATATACAGGTAGTCCGGGCTCCGGCTCGGGGGGAAGCTCGCGCGCAATTGGCGTTTCTAATATATTCTCATTAGCCTACGGTGTTTTAATTAGAACGTTCGTTAATACTTCGGGCCGATGATGCGAGGCGTATATATATATTATATACGTAGAGAGAGCATCTCTCTCCCTCTCTCGCCCTTACTCGTCTTTGTTGTATTATACACGTAAACGCGCATATAATATAGTGGTACGCTCGCTGCTACCTGTCGAGCCCATGAGCAGCAGCAGTGGCAGCCGCCCTAGCAACTGCCATAACTTACTGCGGCGCTATACATACATATTACATATATCATCGGATCTCTGATATCGCTCAACGACGGCTGCTGCTGCTGCTGCTGCCGCCTCAACGTGAATCGCGTAGCGACGAGCATATTGTTGGGAAATTTTCCGCTAACGAATATATTAATGAGTTCGGGATCGAGAGAGGGAGAGAGAGAGAACTTTGTGCTTATGAACTTTGAACTATCTAAGCAGGTTCTGAATAAATGACATAATTCTTCGGCTTAATTATTTTAAACTGAAAAATCCATTACATTATGAATCATTTTGGCTCCCCGAGCTTAACTATACGCCAAAGGCTCTCTCGTCCCTTTTTTTTATTTTTAATTTTTTGCACGAAACTAATACGATGAAAAAACTGAAATAGCGCGGCTTTTGATTTAGAGACGTATGCGCGTGTCGTTGACACTGAAGACTAACGCCGTCCATTATGCGGTCCACTCTGGCAGTCGCGCGCGCGCTACGTATCGCCCACTTCTAACGAACGCATGGCGGCGCGGCCCAACCCAGCTCTCCCGGCGATCCGTGAATCACATTAATTAATGGCCAAACTCGCAAATCCACCGCGGCCTACGTATCGTGGATATAAAAATTATGCCCGTTTGAATATTAATGACGTTTGCCAAGGGAGAGAGAGAGAGAGCCTCTTCAGCTCGGATACCCGGAGATAATAATTTTTCACCTCTAATAAACTTTTTGAATTTTCACGAGAACTTTTTAAATTTAGGAGCTTAATAACTATCCATCAGGAGTTTATGGTACTGGAATTAACAATTTATCTATCAGTTGCAGTGCGGTGTAGTGATTCACACGCCGAAAAAAAAAAACAAAAATTTCTGCAAAAATAAGGCGCGCCTAAACCACGAATCGGGCAAGGGGCGAGCTTTCCGTAATGAAGAGAATAACCGCGGCGCATGGATCGAGAGCGTAAGCGCGCCCCCGATAACCAAGAGTCTCTCTCGCGCCTTTTCACGTGAATTTTCTTTGCAGGCACGGCGGCGGTTATTTCATCATTGAGATTAATTTCCTTTCCATCATCCATAGCAGTAGCGACCGATAGCGGCTCGACTACTACTACTACTGCTGCGCAGTCGAGGGTGGTGTCGCAGGTGCGGCTTAAGCCTTTATACGTATACGCGCCGATAAAGTTTGCGCGTCGACCCTCGCTGCTGTCATTTCGGGCTCGTGCCTATATATACACCTCTTGGCCAAACCGGCCCCTGCGCTAGATAACAAAATTCATTTCCTCGACTGCGCGTTAATAAGCGCGCGCGCACCTCTTGGCGCGCTCGTCTTGGAAAATATATTTATGCGTGCGTGCATTCGCACGGACCTGCGCGCTTGCCGCGAGTAATCTTGGCAATCACGATATCGCGATTCATCTCCTCCGCGGCAAGAAGTATGGCTTCGTTCTGGGAGTACGGTTGAGCGCGCTGTGTACTTTTATAATTTCTTGGCTAGACGGTTTTGTCGACCATCTAGGTTTCATTTATTTTAAACGCCGAGATATAAAAAATGTAAAAGACTTGGTTTCAACATGCGTATTTTCTTAATAAGCAAAAAAAAAGACAAATTAAAATGTTTCAAGGTATATCACTGTTAATTAATTTTTTTTTTTGCGATTTGTTGCTATAACTATCTTACGAACATCAAACACATTTTAAATGACCTTAATATGTAAAGTAAACTGTTTCAAAAAATTCAAATAAGTTTTTGATCGCTCTAAATACGATAATACCACTTTAAGACTTCACCACTAGATGGCGAATATGATCATCTATAAATCCGCAAGAAAAAAGTGAAAATTATAGTATAATTCAGAGCATACTTTTATAACTTTTTATGAGTTTTCGCAAGTCCGAGCAACTTTTTTTCGATCAAAATCCAGCCTTAAAATATTGTTTATTCCTACCAGAAAGATGGATTAATTTTCCGAAATACATCACAAGCCATTCTTACATTCAACACAATTGAAACGGTATCGTCAATACCATCTGGTAATTAAAGAAGATGAATTCGCTTAATGAGAAGTCAGTGAAACACAGTTGCAATGCACCACACTGTACGCAAGTATACATACAGACATTAATGAGAGAACAAGAGAAGGAGAGGGGCATTTGAGGAGTTGGGGGGTGGGGGGCTTAACGTAACTACATCAAGAGACTCTCCCACGTGACCGGATCACATAGAGGGAGCAGCAGCAGCAGCAACGCGGCAATAGTATTGATAGTCCGTGGCTTCTCTCTCTCGCTCTCTGCTTATGCGTGCGATGACTGTGATCAAAGAGCACCTACGGGGTATATAGAGTTAGAGAGGAAGCAAGTGTTACTGGCTGTCAGAGCCAGGTAAGCCCTGGGCTAACGCACGTTGCGATGCATAATTTGCCGACGAATATTTACTCCATGTGAAATCGACTGTAATCTGTATCGTATATATATATAAGCTTTGCGGACATGTACGGACAGAAGTTGACTGCGTATGTATACGCAGTGACGCTGGACCGCACTGCACGTTTGTGCGGGTATATAAGCACTGAAAATAATTCTTTGCAGTTCTCGCTCGATCGCCCGACAAAGTTATATATATACACGCAGTTACTGTGAAATTTGTGTTATGTACTCGAAAGCTCCGATATAACGTTTTAACGGCAAAAGACAGTCACTGCGCGTTGTCTTGGAGACTCTCAAAACATCTCAGGTATATTATAATCCCCTCGTGTTCGTCAGTCAAGTCCTGTTTGAACGACGCATAGCTCCGCGTATACAGACGGGAGGGATGTTTGCCATGCGCTAAGACCAGCACAAACACACAGACACACACACACAAACGGGACACAAAGTTATTCGTTATCAAACCGCGTCACAAGGACACGCACACATACTCATGCGTCTTTAGGTATTTTCAATATCCGTCTTTGGGTTTGAATATATATCTACGCGCGCATAGCTAGACGCAGCCGCAATGCCGAGCTCGTGAAAGCCTCGCGCTGCCTCTAAACGTGTGAAAATATTTGCCAATCGCAAAATTAAATTAGCATTCGACGACGCGCCACGGCGCTCTTTGATAAATATACAATGAATATATTCTTGCTCGAGCGTCCCGTTGACGATCGACTCTGCAAATTTTCGAGTATTTATAGTAGAGAAATGACAGAAAATGCAATTCTTTCGATTGGTTCGAAATTTATAAAATATATAAAGATTTTCCGCAACTCATTCAAGGTAAGGTAAAACACCCAGTAGTCGGACACTTACTGAGACAAACTTTTATTTAGTCTTTTTAAATAAAAACTATGTACTATTCGCGGAAGAAATTTGACTTTTCTGTTTCCTTATCCTTTCAACAATCTATTTCATGTATTAGAAAAAATCCTTTTAAACAATTTTAGTAAAAAAATTAAATTTCAAAAGAGCACTAGAAATCACGTATACTCGGACACGTGAAAAAGGGCAACCTAGAAGTCGGACGCGCATGAGACTAATAGTCGGACACTACAAAATTTATTCCAATCTCACGAAATTTACTCGATTATTATTTCATCGTATCCTAAGGAAAGTTCAAGGAAATTAAAATAAATCAATTTAATAAGGAAATATGATTTTTATTTAATCAAGAACTGAAGGTTGTAAAAAAAGAATGTTACTGAAAATACATTTTTTAAAATCAAATTTACACTTTTTCTTGTTTTATTTTTATTCTTGTTTTCACAGCTTTTAATCTTTCTTCGGCCACCAACTCTGTTACTTCATCTAGTCTTATATTTAAGAGCTTTAATTGCTTATCGTAATCACATTTATTTTCTTTCAATGCTCCAGACTTCAATGAAGTTTTTAATGTTTTAATTTTTGTCATTATCTCTTTTTTTTCTTGGGTCAATTTTGACAAATACGCTTGGGTCTTTTTATTTATATTTATTTCTTTCTCTTTTAATACTTTATTCTTCTCTTTTTTCTGTTTATTTTTGAATGTCTCTGCTTCTTTCTTCTTTTTCTCTTTTTCTTTTCTTTCATGGACCTTCATGATATCTTCTACAGTTGAAGCAGGTGCACAACGAGGGCCATTTTTCGCTATGGTTCTTTTTCCCTTAAATTCAGGAGTTTTGAAAAAAGTTTCAAAAGCAGCCGTTTTGTCAACTGCATTATCATTTGCAGCAATAAATTGAAGACTCCTCTCCTCTTTACTTTTAGAATTATTGCTTAAATCCAGAATATCATCGATAAATAAATCTGCATTAAAGGACGTAGACTCTAATCGCTTGTCATCAAGTGATCTACTATTTTCAGATGAATCATCTTTGAATAATTGACTATTATTGTCTACTGTACTAGTAGTAATATCCACTTCTGCATGAATATCTGTAATGTATAAATATATTGTATTAAGCAGTCTTATTGATTTTTCATTATAACAAAATTATTTATAACAAAATTACCAGTGTCATCAATGGGACCAGATTTCGCCTTATTAACATCTCTATTAAGTGATTCAAAATATTCAGCACAATGAATATTTTCTTGAACCGTACTGCAACTAATATAATTTTTTTGGCTTGGACTAGAATAAACTTTCTGCAATGGACTAGTGTACTTAAGAGTTACCACTTCACTGATAACTATAAAAACATAAAAACAGAAATCTTTAAGAACTGTATAGTAAAATATATTGATTTTTTGTTTACTGGCTTACTTTCATTATTATTATTTTCAATTGTAGACTCAAAAATATTTTCAGTATTTTCTTCACATAAACTAAGACTAAGACTAGTTTCAACATTTGGAGTTATAGTGAAAACTTGTTGGTTTACAGTTGATTCAGTCTCATTAGCTGCAACCAAACATTATACACTTATATGTAATTATTAAAATAAATTTACTTTTAAAAGAATAATAACTAAAAAAAATCTTGATGTACAAACCTGTACAGAATTCATCAACAATTTCAATTTCAATTGCACCATTAACTGCAGTAGATTCTTCTTGTGTAAATACTTCAGGCAGAGGTAATATTCCATCACTACTCTCATGTTGAGATAATATAATTGATCCATTTTGACTAGTGGTCTCATGTGTGGTAGTAGTGATTACATTTTTAGAGCTTGAGTTGTCAACCATACCTGAGTTAATTGGCGTACCTGAAAATATATGTTGTACAATTATAAAAATATTGAAAATGATATTTAGAAATAAGTTTCAACTTACTTGAATTAAGCAGTTTTTTCCACATAATGAAATGGTTGGTTAAATCTGGATCTCCACTCCAACTTTCTTCCAAAATATGTTTTTTGAATTGGTCTAATACAGTAGGTGCCAATATGCTTTTTTCATAAAATTCCAAGTTTTCATTTTTCTGATTTGGTATAGCAGGTAAACATTCAACTATTTTCTTTTTCTTCTTATTTTTATTCAAAACACCATAGTCGACAGCATCTGCATCCAATGGAAACAAGCCTGTTGTTCTGAATCCATTTGTGATACTTGAAGTTACATCAATATTTTGCAATGTTAGTTCCAGCACAGGAGCAAACGAATGTTTCTTATAATCAACCACATCATTATCAAACCTCCACTTTCTCAACGTTTCTCTATACTTGTCTTTTAATTGATGAAACAGGGCCACATCTAGAGGCTGAATAATATGTGTTGAGTTTGGGTACAATGTAATCAGTTCAATTTGATTAGCAACGCACAACTGCATGAGTGGATAAGAAAGATGAGACACATGGCCATCAACGTACAATACTACTGGCAATTCAATACTGTTCTTTTGTAGCCATGGAATAAAGCAATTTTTCACATAATGGTAAAAAGTTTCTGCTGTCATCCAGCCTGATTCTGAATGTCCAACGCCCCAGTCTTTTGGAATTTTAGATAATGTAGTTTGTCGAGGAGTAGTCTTACAATCAAAAAGGATCATTGGTGGCAGTAATATTCCATTTGCTGCAGCAACAAATAAAACAGTCAAGGATGCCTTCTCATCGCTTGAAACTATTTTGTACACAGATTTTGCACCTTTTTTTGCCAGAACATGATTATCTTTTGGAACTAGTTGAAAGGCGGTCTCATCTAAATTGAATACTCGTTCATCAGTAATTTCTAATAAATTCTTTTTTTTCAAATAAGCATTAATCTTAGTAAACCATTGACGTAAGTTAGTTTCAGTTACAGAAGCTCTAGTTGTGGTAAGATTTTGAGAAATTCGCTCAGCCACTATAGGATGTCTTCCTAAGAATGCTTTGTACCAGCGTGTACCTGGTCTATTTTTTTTGAATCTCACTTTCCTATTCAGAGCTGTCACGTACTTCTCAACACAATCCAATAAATGATCTTTACTCACTGGAAACCCCGTTTCTGCCCTGTTTATTATCCAATTAGCTATATCTACCTCTTCTTCTCGAGTTAATTCTGTATGTGATCCTTTTGGGCATTCAACGGGAGTGCGGTTATGTTTCTTATCATGCAGAGTACTTTTAGGTATATCGAAATGAACTGCAGCTTCTCTAAATGATACACCTTTTCCAAGTGCATCAAGAGCATCATATAACTGCTGTGAATTGTACTGTCTTTCCTTGCCTCTTGTGACAGGTTTAGAAATCGATGAACCGGCTACTGCCTTGGTTTTCGAGGAGTTTTTTTTTGATTTTGTCTTCATTATTGGCAGCTATATATTAAAAAAAATAGAACAAAAACATTATTAGTAACATCAACTATTATTGTTTATATATGGCTAAATCAATCAATGATTATATAATCAATCAAGATCATTAAAAAAAACATGCGTACATACCACAGTAGGTCCATGCCTCAACTGTCACTTTATGGTTATGTTTTGCTGTTCACAACAATGAAAAAAGCCTCTGTAGCGACAGATCGAAGAGTCGTGCCCTCTGTCCGACTACAGAGAATTACATTTCAAACTTACTTCTAAACTCGGACACGGTAATCTGCTCTGTCCGACTTTAACAATACTCGTGCGAAATGTAATCTTATATCCGGACACGAGATTATTAAAAAATAAAACTCTATTTCAAGAAAAAAATTACGCAAAAGTGATCTACGAAGCAAAAATATTCTGCACAATGTAAAATGCTATATGCTTTGCATTAAAGTTTTTCTTTTAATTTGCTGAAAACCAGTCGCAATTTTTCCGCTCTAACCTACGTTTTTTTGCAATAAATTTTTCTTATCAAGTTATCAACTAAACATTGATTTTTCATATTTTTTCAAGTGAAGTTAATGAAAAAAGGGTCTGAAGAATGTATTTTTGAAGCTTTCATGAAACATAATCTGCAGCATTATTTTAGTTTTTAGTTCCCTTTAATTAGATAATAGTGTTTTAAGTCAAGTGTCCGACTATAGGCTCCAATTTCTGCTGTGTCCGAGTAATAGGCGTTTTACCTTAAATTAGTTCCTCTGGATCGCGACACGCCGCAAGATATATTTCAGGGAGGTAAAATACGTGTACCATAGTTCATATACTTTGATACGCGCGAAGCGTAACATCAGTTGCAAAGATTCTATGCGTATATGTGTCGCGAAATTACACGAGTGCCATGAGAGATCCTGATATCGTTGGATCGCAGCTACTCTCGCGAAGCATGCGCCATACAGTACGTCACACAATTCCCTGCGCCGACTTAGCTGCTTACGCCTTGGCAGATGCCTCCAGGCTGATGAGTGCAACGCTTGCCTAACACTCTTCTCGTTTTATCCTATACCTATCTATTGCACAGAAGCTCTCAACTAATTGCAACCATCTGAAACTCGTGGAACTATCAACAATTGCGAAACAATCGAAAAACTCGACGCGTGTCAAACGGAGAGGATCTCGTGGGAAGTGTCATCGTCGAATCTGATGGGGAGTACACGAAATTGGAAACGATAGCATCTGATATGAATTTTTTTTTTCTTTCCTCGCTCTTGCTCTCCCTCCCCCGGATCTGCCTCATACCAATCAAAGTTTTAATAAACTAGTTCTCTAAGTTTAATTTCTCAAGTTTTCGAGTGGAATTTGTTTAGCTGATTTTTCTCGTACTCCACTTCAGTCAATTTAACTTTAATTTCAGCAAGTTTGCCGATTTACATCACGAGGTAAAATTTGCATAGCTGATTTTTAATTTTACCTCGGGTATTTAACTTTGAGTGGCTCATCTTTTTCAGCGAAATCTAGAGTGATCATAAACAAGGTTGTAAATTTGAAAGGCACCTAGCGAAAGACAACTGATAAACAATTATCCCCGTTACTGAATCAGAAAAGAATTCAACTAATCAAATTACGATCATATATCAAAGCACTTTCAATGACAATATCGTCAATTGCACTTAAAACTTATGAGTTCTATTTTCAAAGATGTTATTCACAAAATATCGTGATTTGTGTGATTATGTTTATAATTCCACTTGCAGGTTAATAGATACATGTACTCGCCATCTTGTGGTAGAGATTCAAAGTTATCATACTTACAGCGATTGTAATCTAGTCTGCATTCTTTGACACAGTTAAATTGGCATTTTTAGGAGATTTAAAATCTACGTCTTTATACACTCGGCAACAAAATTATCGCATAATTATCGTAAAAAATTCATCGAAATTTTGTCGATTTTCAAATGCTTCTATCTTGGGCTAGATTTATCGTATCGACACGCTTTTTTTTTTAATTTCTTGGAAATTTTGTCCTCTTTAAATCCATATAAATTAAGATAAGATTTGAGTCAATGTTGAGTTACCAGTAGTATTTGAGCGTGACCCTAAAAATTACTGAAAAAAAATGACTGTTTGAACGTGTACCAGTACCACAGTGATTTTTTTATCGAAATCTAACATACACCATCGCAAAGTGCTCTTTTTAACGAGTAATTTAAAAAAAAAAAGACCTCTTTACGATTTTTTTAACGCCATGTAGGTCGATTCGAAGATACCATTTAAAGTACGTAAAATCCCCCGTTTACCTGAAATCAAGACGATTTTCTGGGCATTATGCGTACATAAACCGTACCTTCAAATCGACCTACAGGGCGTTAAAAAAATCGTAGAGAGGTCTTTTTTTTTTTTAAATTACTCGTTAAAAAGAGCACTTTGCGATGGTGTTTGTTAAATTTCGATAAAAAAATCACTGTGGTACTGGTACACGTTCAAACAGTCATTTTTTTTCAGTAATTTTTAGGGTCACGCTCAAATACTACTGGTAACTCAACATTAATTCAAATCTTATCTTAATTTATATGGATTTAAAGAGGACAAAATTTCCAAGAAATTAAAAAAAAAGCGTGTCGATACGATAAATCTAGCCCAAGATAGAAGCATTTGAAAATCGACAAAATTTCGATGAATTTTTTTGTTGCGATAATTTTGTTGCCGAGTGTATTTTTAATTCAATAAAAATCGCAAAAAAGTCAATTAATGGTAATGCAATTTAAAACATTTTTATTGATCATATTTTGTTCATTAAGCCATGATTAATGTTGAGCATATCTACCAAGGTTCTTAAATCATTACTGCTTATTATTATACTATTAATCTTGCTGAAATTAGTTGTACCAAATTATTTTTATTTGTCTAATTATTTCTTATTTTCTTCAAGCTTCTTCACTTCTACCGTGGCTAAAGTCGGTGCACAATATTATATTACCGAAAACGCTAGTTCAAACGCTCGTACCTAGGAAAGGATGCACACAAAGTATATTTTTCAAGTTTATATGCACGTACGAGAGAGAGAGAGAGAGAGCTGGCAAAGCGAGTAAAAGCACATTTCCCTTGTATTAATTTTCGCTTGGCAACATTTTATTCAGCAACAGCAGCAGCAGCAGCAGCAGAGGCAACGGCGGCAACCGTGTGCGGCTCCATAAGCGAAATAATACGCCAGATTCACAAGGAATATACTAACGAGCAGTTTCCTACTTGCGGTTTTCACAAGTCTGCTCTCTTTGCTCGAGCTCGATACTTTGGCTCACGGGGCCACACGGTACATAACATACACGCACACACACACACACACATGAACACTCAGGGCGTGTACATACGTACCACCGAGAGATCCTCGCGCTAACGCTTTTATAAACGACTCGACGCGAAAATAGATGGTGTGCTGGTACATGCGGGATGAATTCTGAGAAATTTGTGTGTCAATTCTCAGCATAGAATCCGTTCTTCTAAGTAAGTTTTGTCGCGCGCTAACTCCAGCTGCAGCTCTGTCTGTTTCTCTCTCTCTCTCTCTTTCCATCTCTATCCACGAAGGAAACACATAAGTTCGAAGGAACTGGAGCAGTAAACTCCATCGATTTCTCTGTCTCCGTCTCTGTGTGCTGCGCCGAACATGAACCGGGAGAGAAAAGCTAGACCACCGCAACTCGACTCGATCTCTGCGTGATTCTACCTATATGTACGTACGTATATAGACGCACAAGATTGTCTTCTCAGCTCTGCGCGACTTGTCATGTAGACTCGTGTAGTAGCTTTGACTCTCTGCTGCTTGCTTGCTTGCTTGCGCCGCTTGTAGCTCCTCCGCTGCGATCTTAATTACTTGCGGCGCGTAAATATTCATTGGATCCACCACAAAGTCGCGCATATTTGTGTATATATGATGGATCATCCCAGAGAGAAGACAGAGAGAGATGCCTTGGAATTGACAATTCCTTCGGGTACCGAGCTTTCGGATAATGGTATACAAAGTACCGCGGCAAGAAAGCGAGCGCGCCGCACAATAGCCCGCGTTGTCTGAATAATGCTTTGACGGGTGTAATCATTTTATATGGAATGCAAAGTCGTGTGTATTCGACGGTGGATCGACGAGAAACACAACGCGTAGCTTTGAATTCTTCTTTTATTCGACGTTTAATCGTCGAAAAATTGAAAAGTAAATGAGAGCTGTAATTCTTGTCGTTGCGTTTTTGTCGTTGCACCCATTTCTAGGAAAACTTCGAAGCGAACCGAAGACCTCTCGATGCAACGATAAAGCTGGGGTATACACACAGGCTCACCTCTAGGATTTTCTCCCGCGAGTTACAACGCATGAAGATGTCATCGCCTCGAGCGCGCGCGCAAGAGGCACATAAAGCTCGAGGGGGGGTACCTACGCACATACATATACAGCATAAAATGAACGTAGGCATATCTCTACGGTCATATACATATAGGTGGTGGTAGTAGTACTGGGTGCGAATGCTTTACGAGTAATTCAACGCCGTAAAGGGCCCGCGCGCTGCGATGCGATGTGCAGCTCGCATGAATGCGCATACAATGTCGAACGAGCTGCTGCTGCTGCTGCTGCTGCTGCGCATACATGTAAATGCCGGGTACCTCGTATACCTACATATACACGCAGGACGGGTGTAATAAAACATGCATCAACGCTGCAGTCGTAACTCCGCGAGAAATGATAGGAGCGACGGAGAGAGAGAGGCCATACACAGAATAAGCATGCATATACCATACACGCGGCTATGGTAAGAAACGGTCTTCCAGAAAAAAAAAAAAAAAAAGAAAATAGAGCGAGGGAAGGGCTCGCGGCCGCGATTACTACAACAGAGCATAATACGAGATTTAAGAAGGCACGAGAGAGCAACAACAAGGTATATATAGCGAGCGGGGAAAAAAAACAACGGATACCTCGTTGGCTGCGCGAGAAACAACAGGAACTCGCGTGTGCATAGGCATACTGCAAAAACAGCTTTCGACGCGATTAGATCGGTAAGGAATATAATGCGAGTGTTTGGTGAACGACGAAACAACGAAAACGACACTGAATAGTTAGAAGGCTGAAAACAAGGAGCGTACGAAAAATATGACGGCACTCGATGAAAAAACCAGCTGCATTAATTATGCGACAATTTCACC